AATTCTGTATTTTTTTTTTTTTTTTGGTTTTTCGAGACAGGGATTCTCTGTGTAGCTTTGCCCCTTTCCTGGAGCTCACTTGGTAGCCCAGGCTGGCTTCGAACTCACAGAGATCCACCTGGCTCTGCCTCCCGAGTGCTGGGATTAAAGGCGTGTGCCACCACCGCCCCGGCTAATTCTGTATTTTTTTAATGGCACTGGAGATTGAACCCAGGGCCTTGCGCATGCTATTCAACCATCCCATCACTGAGGTGCTTCTCTAGCCCTTTCTTTATGCTGTTATTTTGAGACAGGAATTTACTTACTTGCTTAGATTAGGCTCAAACTTGCTCTGTAGTCAAGATAGGCCTGAACTACAATCCTCCTGCCTCAGCCTCCTGAATAGCTGAGTATACTGGCCTATACCACCAGGTCTAGCTAGTTCTCATTTTTAAGTGCATCAGTTAGGTTATCTGGGTTAGAAATCTGTCAGCTATTCATGTTTACCTAGTTTCTAATTCTTTTTTTTTTTTTTTTTTTCGAGACAGGGTTTCTATGTGTAGCTTTGCGCCTTTCCTGGAATTCGCTTTGGAGACCAGGCTGGCCTTGAACTCACAGAGATCCACCTGCCTCTGCCTCCTGAGTGCTGGGATTAAAGGCGTGTGCCACCACCACCCGGCTAGTTTCTAATTCTTTAAATATTCACTAAAACATAATTAAATGCCAGAGGGAACAGTCAGCATTCGAGAAAGAAATGATTTTTAGTCATTCCCAAGATATCAGTTTTTGAAGGCATAAGTCAAAATAAATACAACTCCTATACTAAAAGCTACACCAATAAGGGATTTTAGTGCTATTGAGAAATGAAGGAAAACATATTTTAACCAAATTTCTGCCAAATCTGTCTTATAGGAAAATCTATACTTTAGAAATAATGAGATGCTAGAGTTAGCAAGACCTCCATGGCTGTCTTAATTTGGACTCAGTGTCTTATACTTACTCGGAGGTTTCCTTGGGCAGTGTTCACAGGCTGGTCGTCCTTCAGCCATGTAATGGACGGGCTGGGAATGCCATTGGCGATGCACTGCAAGGTGACTGGCTTGTGCCTCACCACAGTTTTCTCGGGAAGGTCTGAGGACTTGATTGTTGGAGGAACTAGATGAAAAGAAGGGAAAGAGAGGGAGTGAAAAACTGCAATCAATGACATCACAGACCGAAGAGCATATGTGAGGCACCCATGACAAATGGGCTGTGCAAAAGGATTCCAGGGTCACAGAAAGAAAACTCTGGGGCATGAAGTTGGGATATGTGTGTTGGGGGGGGGGGCGGTAAACTCAGGAGGGGGAAGAATGAGGGATGAGTGTCTATTATCAAGTTACATTTTATGCACACGTGAAATTCTCAAAGGATTAATAAAAACATATTTAAAAGATGTTTGAGACCTGAAACTTTAAAATTGGAAAAATTAACATTTTTCACAAACAATGAAACAACTTTATCTTTTTAAATTTTTATTTAACTTATAATTTTAATTTGGATTTAATTTATAATTTCATTCATTTTAGATAACACTCATTTTTAGTTCTGTCTTTAATTATTCGAATAGCCAAATGTCCATATGGTTACTGCAACCTAACATGTATGCTTGGCTCAAACCCATTGACTTATTTTTCCAATTGATAATTACCATCTACTTCTCTGGAATGACTTCATTAAACTAATGCCATATTCAAGCAGTATTTAGGCACAGGACTTTGTCCCTAGTAAGGCTGACTGAACCTAGGGTTATAAGGTGATTGAATCTCAGTTTGCCAGATTCTCTCTTAAGAATTTGAACTATGAACTAGATCTGTCTGTATTCCATCATGGGACATGGAAAAACAAAATTTAAAGGAGAGTCTACAGAGACAGGGGGAAGAACGTAGTTGCTAGTCACAGATTCTGTTCCTGTGCATTCCAAACAACTCTTCAGTTTCTGGTTTCACTCCCTTCCTTCTCAAGTTCTGCTGGCAAGTGGGACACATAATGCCCTGGCAGAGATTGTCTCTTGTCATTAGATTCATGGTCGTAACCTTAATGTGCCAGTTCTGTGGATACGCTTATGTTTCTGGATCCCACAATTCTACCCTAAGCCTTGCTTCTGGAAAACACTGTTCATAATCACTCCTGTTTGGGTCAAATCTTTAAAGGTTGGCATAAGCCATTCACTTGGAGTTTTTAACCATCCTCTTCTATTGTAGTCTAGCTCCCTCTCCACCCTCTGGCACCAGGTAGAATACACTTGCTGACAACTATTGTTGAATCTTATTCACATGATACTCTGGGTGAATCGCTGCCCCAGAAAATAATGTAAATCTGTTATTATTTAACTACACTTGCCCTTTTTCTCACTTCTTTACACAACACAAGTTTTCTCCAGATGACCCTGCTCCTGTCTGAATTTGATAACGGATAAAGCCCCAGAGTGGTTTAAATGGAGCACACCCACCCCTTCCTTGGCATACCATGCACTGTCACTTCAAACTCCTTCCTGTGGTCCCCTGCAATGTTCGTTGCCACACATTGGTAAAGGCCTGTATCTGACACTTGAGCCTGAGCAATAACCAGTTTGCGTCCATTTAGTAAGATCTTGAATCCATCTCTTTCATCGATTAACTGACCGCCTTTTAGCCACCTGGAGAGAAAGGCAAAAAGAATTCTAGATACATATTGCAAATAAGCAATTTCCTAGCGGTTATTTGTGTGCTATATTGATTCTCTCCTGTGCATTCACCTGATCTCCTAATTAATCACTCTGTGAAACGGGATGGTGAAGGGAAGGTAAAAAAGAACCATGGTGTCTCAGAGAGGTGGGCATACAGCTGGAACTCAGGAACTCTGTAATGAGTTCATTATCCTTCTAAGTTTAGGTTCAGAAAGGGACAAATGATCCTATTCACTATAGTATTTAAATAATATTAACCAACAAAAGGCAATGATCTTCCAATGTTTGCAAACCAAATATTGAAATCAGAGCTTTATGGTTTTGTGGGCTATCACTTTATAATGTGTGAACTGTAGTCAACCAACTATTCTTTTGCATGTCTCATGCCATTTTGGAAATGAAAATTGTATATTCAATAATGCTTTGAGAACATAGGAAGGAGACCAACCAGACAAGACTATGAGCATGCTAACCTCTCCATTTCTACAACATTATTTATTTATGTATTTATGTATTTATTTATTATCTTTTCTAGTATTTATTTAATAATAACATTGTATTTATCAATTATTTATTATTACAATTATATAATTGTATATTAATTATTATAATAAAAGATTATTTATTATCTTTTTATTTAATAGTCTGTTACACATGTCAGTGCCTCAGAGAGCTCTAACACTAATAGTGCTTAATAGTCTATATCTCAGGCTGAAAATATGATTCCTAAGATAATACAAAGGATTTTCTCCAATTGTGCCAATATGTGTGCTTTTTGAGTGCCAGGTACCTGTTGCCTTGTATATAGACCATATCTTTTCTAAGAGGAATATGATTCTGTACTGACTCTCCTCAATGTCAAAATCCTTTAGGACAACTCCAAAACACTTACATTAAAAAGTGAGAGAGGTATTTAGAAGACATACCAAAACGCTTACATGATAGTTGGTGGCGGAGAGCCTGTGACCTGGCAATCTAGCTCCAGCAAGTTATTTGCCATCACAATGAAGTAAGAGGTTTCATCTCCTCCTTCCACAGCTGGTGGCACTGGAAAGAAAGGAAGAAAGAAAAAGACAGAAGGTAGCAGGCAAAGACAGGTTTACAGGAATGAATCCACCCTGACAGCTCAGTAGTAGCTAGGAAAACTGATGTTTTTCATAGGAGTTCAATACTCCAGGGGATTTGAAACTGTAAATGAACTTTTCAATAACTTGCTATGATGAACGTACTCCAGTCACTAGGAATTTTCTCTGCCACACACTATGGCGCCATAGATGCTATGCTAATGTGAAGTTTATCCATGTTTTATATTGTTTATTTTCATAATAACACCCATTTAAGAGTCTTCTGGCTGCGATTACAGAGTCTCAAGGTTGCAAGATGATTTTCCACGGTCCAGAGACTATTATCTGTGGTCTGACACAGTGCTATGACAAAAGAGCACCTTGTGACTCGCTGCAGCCAGAGGTTGATATAGTTATGAAAATGCCCTTGCAAGAACAAAGCACATTCATCAAAACCTATGGAAGAGCTGCATTACATTTTGATTACAGGACTCTGTTGAGAAACTCACCACTTGAACAGACTTGAAAAGCTGACTACACCTGAGCTTAGACTGCATTATTTCTACATGATCTCAGATGTGTTCAATAATCCAGTTATTACTAATGATCTCAGATGTGTTCAACAATCCAGTTATTACTACAGGATCTCAGATGTTCAATGATGCAATTATTAATGATCTCAGATGTGTTCAACAATCCAGTTATTACTACAGGATCTCAGATGTTCAATGATGCAATTATTATTAATGATCTCAGATGAGTTCAACAATC